TGCGCGGGCGGGCGCGGCCGAGCACCCGCGGCCCGCGCGCGCGGGCGCCGCCAGGTACTTGCGGCCTGCGGGCGCGCGCACAGCCAGGCGCGCGCGCGCAATGCACGGGCGGGCGCGACCAGGCGCCCGCGGACCGCGTGGGCGGGCGCAGGCAGGCACCCGCGGCAGAAGCGCCAGGGCGCGCCCGGGCGCGCATAGGCGGTGCTGCGGGTGGCCGCAGCCACCCGTACGGTTCCCACGCGGACCCCCGCGCCCCCCCCCCCTGTGGCTCGGCGCAGCCGCCCGCCCCGCAGGGCGGGTGGTGGGGGGAAACAGCTGTCAGGGCTCCCCCGGACACTCGGGAGTTTTTTCTAAAGTGCGTCCTAGCGCTCGAGCACGGCAAGCGTAGACGCGAAAATGACTTGTGCGTTTTCTCGAAAGTGTGCCCGCGTTCGAAATCGCATTCTGCCTTTGCGGGCATGAGTGTCTCGGCGAGCGAGGTGGACTTTTGTTTTCCGGACATGAGTGTCTCGGCGAGCGAGGTGGACTTTGTTTTTCTTCGACGTCGCAGTTTCGGAGGAAAAATGAAACGTACGTCGCAGTTTCGGAGGAAAAATGAAACGTACGTCGCAGTTTCGAGCCCAAATGGCGACGTCGCAGTTTCGGCCTCAAAAAAAAAGTTGGGCGCGCGAGGTGTCTCGAGTGCCCTGGGGGGCTTTTTTTTCCTGTGCGCGGAATGTCCGGCGCCACGAAAATGCATTTTACTCCTATGCGTTGCGCGACGAAGCCCCCTCGAGACTCCGGTGGTTCCCCCGTCCAGGGCGCTCGAACGCGCGCGGACAAACGCGCCCTCTCGTTGGCCGCGACAGGCCGCAGGAGGCCGCACGAGGCCGCGCGCCCGTGCGCGATGCCAACTGCACCGCCGTCCCTCCGCTTCGCGCGCTGCACGCCAGCGGAGTATGCGCGACCCGCAGCGCCTCCTCGGCCGGCGTCAACACGGCATCTCCAGCCAGTTCGCGCGCCCCCTGGCGAACCAGTCGAACCCGCCTTCCACGGGGCCGCCTTGCTCGCGGCGGCCCCGATGCGGGGGCGCGCTTTCGACTGCGCGCGACCGAAGCGCAGCTCCTGGACACCGAACCATCACGCCGCCATGGGTCCAGAAAAGAAGCGTGGGAGTGCTCTCGCTCGCGGCGCGCGCGCCTCGCCGTGCCTTCACGCGCGCCAAGCCGTCTACGCAGTTCGCGCTGTCGTTGCCATTGGCCGCGCGATCGAGGCCACCCGCGCGGCGCGTGGCATCTTCGGCGCATTTTCCAAGCGATGCGCGACTTGTGCGCGTCGCGGTGACGCCCAGAAGTCGCCGCGCGCGCGCCGCCGCGCGCGCGCGACTGCGCGTCGCGCATTTCGCCGCGCGGTTGGCTTAGGACAACAGCGCGCTAAGTCGAAAATGGGAATTGAACGCGCGCCAAATGCCAATGTCAGCCCCCGGACCCGCGAGGCGAACTCTTGATTTGGGAACCGCGGACCTCGCTGCGCGGTCGACGCCGCGCGCGCGTAGCTCCTCGTGCCGGATTGAAAACGCCTCGCGCCCAGCTGACATCCAGGATCGCAAACCTGGGCGCCGGTTGTGCTTCCAAGCCAAGTTGGCAACTTGACCGCGCCGACAACGCAGCGCCTGCCATGGAAACGCCGCCAAGCGCGTTGCACCGTGCTTCTCTTGGCGAAACTGCGACACACACACACACTTAAAGTTGCGAGTCGGGGCCGCGCTCGTTAAAGGCGTACTTCGGTTACCAGACAACCGAACTTCTTCATTCCTGCGAGGCAGACCTTGTCATGCACGCGCCGCCACGCGCGCCCTCTGTGCACTGGGCACCTCGTGTACATGTGGAAACCGCGCTTAAGTTGGCATCGGGAGCGGACGACAGTCACTACATGGAACCATTCAGCTTTCAAAGCAATATGGCTCGATGAGTCTGTACGGCTATGTACAGGATGGCCGTGCGAGCCAGTGCACGTGCGAATGCCAACAATAGCTTTCTTGCGCGCCAATGCAAAACGCTAGTTATTATGACAGCGTGGCGACTTATGCGTTCCCACCCAGTGAAGACACCGCCGCGCGCGCACCGCCCACGTCCTGCGCGCTCGGTGCATACAAAGGGGGCGCAAAAACGTCATGCTAAATTCTCAAAGATTTTGGGCGCGAGAATGTAAGATTTGAGTTCCCGCGCAAAGGTGGCGACTTCTGCGCTTCCACTGTGCACGAGCCTGCCATGCAGGCGCGCTGATGCGCGCGCGGGCGACGCGTGTCACGCCCGAAAGCCGCGTGGCGACCGCTGAAGGTCTCATCTAGTTTCCAATCCACCATGGCCGCGCCCTCGTTTCCAAAATTCAGGATCCAACGCGCGAGCGGCCAAGTTCCCAGACAAAGTAAGGACATCAAAAACCTATTCATGTTCCGCCCTTTTCGCTGGCAACAGCCTTCCGAAGCTTCACGATGGCTCCAAGATGGACCAAGAGAGCCCCTGGTGTCCCCAGAAGGACCCCGGATATCTCCAAGACGGTCCCCCCAAGCGCCCGGGAGCGTCCCAAGAGCGCCCCAGGAGGGCCCGGATGGCTTGCGGGGCTCGAGGGGTTGTGGGGGCAGGCTAATTAAAACACCTCCCTCTGGCTGATCGATGTCATTCAAGATGGCCCCAAACGTGCCTCCAAAGCCCCGAAGAGGATACTGATTTTCGCCCGTGACTTGACGGGTGCCGCTTTCTCTCTGTTGTTGAGGGCCATGAACCAAAGCAACTGAAGGCACCGCACAACGCGATCAGACTCGGGAGCAAAACAAACGAAAACAAGGCCAGCCACACAACGCCATCGAAATCATCTTGACAAGCAAGCGCTTGCGCTATGTACATTGAAGACGCGCTCGAACCGGACACAGCAAACCGAACCTCTGGCTGTCTGCCACCAGGGAGGGGTCATCCGACTGATGTTTATTGCCAGCCCTGTGCTAACAACAACGCGTTCAGCTTGCCAAGCACCGTCTACGGATGTTGAAACAACAGAATCTATATTCGGCCCCCTTTCCAAAGCAGAAAAAAAACAATGGAAGCGAGAATTTACTGTGCGACGGCATGACTATTTTCGCCTACAAGTGTCCTAGCCAGTTCGCATATGTTAAAATGAATTGCATAAAATACAGATGCGTGTGCACGTCGACGCCGTACCAAAGTTGCGATTTGAGCTGCGTGTCCCAAAAAGCGATTGGGACCTTTTGGTAATACCACCCAAAAGTCGCCCCTGCCATTACCCAGGCATGAGGGCCCAATAGACAGGGGCGGACGCAGCCCCCCAGATGAAGCCAACTTATAATCATGTATCTGCCTTTCAAAAATTGCGGTCAGAAGCTGGCATGAATTCCTGCGTCTCAGCAGGCGGATCGGGATAGTCCTGCGATGGAGGAGGCATCTGTGAGTCCAGGCAGCTCCAATCATCAAATGCGAGCTGCGAGCAGAGCGCGTTGCGAAAACCGAGGACATGGGCGAATGCGTGTAATTATCAGCAGCGAGAGTATCGGAGGTCTCCTCGATCAGTTTTTTTTTTTCGGCGTGGGTTCCATCCCCCCACACACAACCTCCTTATCACCCGAAGGGTGGCCGTGTAGGTCTATCGGGTCTGGTGCGGCTGCAACTGCATCCCGGATGAGGGCTGTCGTTGCCGAGGTTGGGGTCCAAAAAAACAGAATGTGTGCCGCCCAGAACCAAACGTTGCCCGGAAGGAAAAACGAAAAAGCTGGCCCAAGAGCCTCCCACGATGGTACCGAGACGGCTCAAGGAGCCTCCGATGAGGCGACGGCCCGGGAGTCCTCCACGAGGTGCAGCCTGCAACAGCTCTACGATTTGCATGCCGATCTTCACTTCGATGTACACTCGACCAGGATAGTAAGGATACGCGGTACGGATGCAAGGGCCTTGGAACGCCATGTTGACGATTTCCGTGCGGAGCGCAGCAGAATGCCAAAGGATGCCGAATACCGAAGGGGCAAGGATGCAAGGGTAGCCTTGGAAAGTTGCCCCATCCTTACAATCATGGTTGGCTGTACATGTTACTTCCAAGTTTGAGTCGTAGTGCGATGCGCATTGGATCGGCATCGGATTTGCATAGTTTGCATTTTTGTTTATGAACGCATCAGTTTGAACATTGGTCTGCATATCGCTTGCATTTCGATAAGTATTTCGATGTGCATCTCGATTTGCACTGTGATCTGCACCTCGATGTGAAGTTCGATTTGCATGTCGGTTTGCACTTCAACTTGCGATTCGATGTGCATGTCGATGTGCCCTTCGAGGTTCAAGGCGTGCATGTCTGTGCGCACATCGGTTTACACTTTGACGTGCAGGTCGATCACAGCTCGACGGTACCCTCGATGAGCAAGTCGGTGAGGATCTTCTTTGTAGTGGGTTTGCAACTGTACTTGCGACTCGATTTGCATTCCAAATGTCATTGCATCTGCACGTAGATTTGCAACTCCCACGCGACAGCTGGCGCGACGGAACACGGGACAACCCGCGGGGCAGCCCACAGGACAGCCCACGGGGCAACCAACGGGGCAACCCACGGGGCACCCACGGGGCAACCACGACGGGTCACCGCGGAACCCGAGCAGAAGCTGAATGTACGACTTGACCCTAGCCTTGACCGAACCGCCCTCGCGCAGCCTCGCCTCGCCCGCACGCGCGACGCCAACTTCCCCGTCGGGGCCACTCCGTTCTAACAACCCCAACCTCCGTCACGGAAAGAAAGAGAGAGAGAGAGAGAGCGAGAGAAAAAGAGAGCAAGACCGAAAGGGAGACAGAGAGACCGAGAGAGGGAGAGAGAGAGAGAGAGAGAGAGAAAGAGAAAGACAGGCAGGCAGGCAGACAGAGAGCGAGAGAGGCACAGAGAGATCGACATAGAGAGATAAAGAGGGAGAGAGAGGGAGAAACAATGCAAGAGAAAACAACAAAAAGGATCACCCGCGACCCTGCGGCCTTCAGGTACTTCAATCGCGCGAGGCCTGCCGTAGAGCCGGCCGGCCGCAGAGGAGGGAGTGGGAAGAGGGGCAGCTTCGTGCGGGGGGCAAACGTGTCGTCGGTTCCCGACACCGCGTAGGTCGTTCACCGTTGAACGATCGGCGGCCTTCCAATCGCCAGATCGTTCCCCCTATATTTGCAGATTCTGGGCCACTGGCGGCGTTCATCCATCAACGCCCGCGCTGGGGTAGCAGTCGCAGCGGCGCGACCCGAACGTGCCGTAGGAGGACGCTGGCCGTACACCTGCACCGATCCTGGCATGACCCATTCTGGATCCCTGGGCCCAGGATCGGCGTATGCGCCATCCTGACCTGGCCAAGGAAGGGCTGTGCACTGCGGCCAGGCCAGGGAACGGCCTTGTCCAGGATCGGCGTCACATGACTGCACGAAAACCTACTGCTTCTTCCGCGCCGACTTCTTCCGAACGATTTCTTCCGCACGACTTCTTCCGGACCACTTCTTCCGGACGTCTTCTTCAGGACCAAATCTTCCGACGACGACTTCTTCCGCGAGGATTTCTTCCGGACGATTTCTGCCGAACCACTTATTCCAAACGACTTCTTCTGGACGACTTATTCTGAACGTCTTCTTCCGAACGACTTCGTCCGAAAATGTCTTCCCCGCCTCGTCGTGCATCCTCCACCTCCTCCTCCTAATCATTGGTTTGCTCGTCGTTTTTCTTCGATCTGTTCCGCGACGGTGTTTTCCTTGAACGGTCTCTTCCTAGCAGGGTTTCTTCCGCGACGATTTCTTCCGGACGACTTATTTAAAACGACTTCTTCCGAACGATTTCTTCCAAACGACTTCTTCCGGACGGCTTCTTCTGGACGACTTTTTCCGGACGACTTCTTCCGGACGACTTTTTCCAAAACGATGTATTCCGGACGACTTCTTCCGAAGAGATCTTCCGTGCGAATTATTCCGAAGGTGCGTCCTTCCGAAGTGTCTTCTTCCGAACGATTCCTTCCGGAAGAACTCTTCCAAACAATTTTTCGCGATGATGATTTCTGCTGGGGCGACTACCTCTGAACGAATTCTACCGGAAAAATTATGCCGGGCGCCTTCTTCCGATACTGACTTATTCTGGGGCGCCTTCTCCCGGCCCCCTCTTCCAGACGAATTCTCCTGGATGACTTTTTCCGAGGGTGACTTCTGCCGATGTGATTTGTGCTGGCCCCCTCCTCGCTCCTCCTCCTCCATCTCCCCGCTCTTCCTCCCAGGCCTCTTGTTCTCCTCTCATCCCTCCTCACTCCTCAGTCCTCCTCCTGCCTCTTGCCTCCTCTCCCATTTCCTCCCTCGTCCTTCCTGCCTCCTCCCTCCTCCCTCCTGCGTCTCACCTCCTACTCCTGTTCGCGCGAGCTACGTAGCTACGCTGGGGGAGCGAAACAGATACTGCTCCACTCTCCTCACGTGGCAGCGCTCGGAGGGGACAGCGGGGGAACAAATGGTACTCCACTCCATTCGCCACGTGGCAGCGCCTGAGCACGCGGCAACGAAGCGGGCCAGGAACTCATGCTACTCAACTCTACTCGCCACGTGGCAACGCCACGTGGTAAGGCCAGATAGGCAAACAGAAATATTATCCCACTCCACTCGCCAGGTGGCAATGACATTGTTCGTCCTCCTGTGTCTTCCTCGTTCCTTCCCGTCCTCCTCGTGCTCTCCTTTTCCCCCCTCCTTGCACTTCCCCCCAGGCCTTCTATCATCTTCTCCTCCCTCCTCCCTCCTCTTTCCTCCTCCTGCCTCTTGCCTCCCCTCCCTGCTTCTCCGTCCTGCCTCCTCCCTTCCCCCTCCCTCCTGTCACCTCCTCCTCCTCCTGGTCCGTCCGCCCTCGTCCCTCCTGGCTCCCCCATATTCGTTCCCATATTCGCACCCCTCCATCCTCGTTCCTTTGTCCTCTTCCCTCCCTCCTCGGTCCTCTATTCAGCGCGCGGCAATGCCTGCGGAGCGGAAAATGAAACTATTCCACTGTACTCGCCACGTGGTCAACGCATGGGGGGCGAACGAATGTGCTACTCCACTATCCTCGATACTTGACAACGCCTGCGGAACTGACAATATATTGTCCCGCGCGAGTTGCCAGGTAGAAGTGACTGGGGAGCGAAACGCAAACTGCTCCACTCCACGACTCGCCACGTGGCAACGCTCGCGAGGCGGGCAATAGGTTTCACTCCACTCGCCACGTGGCCACGCTGGGGGGGCGAAAAAAATGCCGCTCAACTCTCCCCGCCGAGCGGCGGCGCTTGGAGGGAGGAACGCATGCTACTTCACTGCGCTTACCGCGTGGCAGCGCCGGCGGGGCGCAGCGGAAATCCCGCGCTCTACTCGGCGCGCGGCGAGGAATGAGGGCCGGCAGCGCATGCTACTTGTCTCTACTAATGCGGCAACGCCGCGTGGCAAGGCCTGCGAAGTAAACGAACATGCTATCCCGCTCCACTCGCCACGTGGCAGCGACGCTGGCAGCGAACGAGAAGTCAAAATGCACTCACCTCAGCGCGTGACAATGCCGCGCAGGCCGAAGTGATTACACAATCCCACTGCGCTCGCCACGCTGTAGCTCGTCACGCGGTAGCGTCCGGGGGTCAAAAGTTTAGATTCCATTCGGTTCGCCACGTGGCAACCTCGCGGGGAGGGAACGCATGGGGCGCCACTCCATTCGCAACGGGGCAACGACAGGCCGGCGAATTAAAGACAGGTCAGCGTTGCGCGCAACGTTGCCAAACAACGCGATGCTATTGCGCGCGACGTGGCAGCGACGCGGAAGCGAACGCCACGATCAACTCGGCACGGGGCTCCAACGCGGACGAAGACGACGACGACAACGACGAGAACGACGACGACGACGACGACGGGTTCGAATCCTATCGTATCTAGAGGACGCGCGAGTCGGCGGCGAGTGGGGAAATCAAGAGGAGAAGGCCTTCTAAGAAGGCGGACAACTTCTCGAGAACGCCGCTGCCCTCTGAGAATTGTTCCGCGTCGTCGGGAGACGTTTAGAAAACTATTTGGAAGGGTGGGAAGCTTCCAAGCCTTTTGAAAAGGCCTGCCCCTTCTCACCCCCACCCTAGCCGCCGAATCCAGAGGAAGCGCAAAAGGGCGCCGAAACCGCCGCCCTACGGACCTCTTGCAGGGCGGGTCCCGACCAGCAAATCTCGGGGCAACTCCAGCCGCGACTGCCAGGGACAGGCCCGCTGCGATCTCACCCCCCAACCTCCATTGTCGAGTGACGCAAAAGGCGCGGAAACCCCAGCCTGACGGTCGACATCCCACAGGGCGCATCCTTAGTAGCAATCTCGGGACAACACCAGCCGTGGCTGCGAGGAGCAGGCAGAGGCATCGGCACGCGTTCCTCTTCCTCCTCTGGCCTCCTTTTCCTCCTCCTCCTGTTCCTCTTCCTCCTCCTCCTCCTCCTCCTCCTCCTCCTCCTCCCTCCCTTCCTCCTCCACGCTATCAGCAGCAGCAAAAACAACGCTCGACAAATAATACTTTCCTTTGGCACTGGCAGATGTTCCTCATCTTCCTCCTCCTCCTCCTCCTTCTCCAGAATCGCCAGCCAAACCTGTCCAGAATGCACGTTGTATAAACCACCAGAAGTCTGGACCCCTTCCCGAAGACAGCTGCTTCATCCCGATGCGCTTGTGAACGGTCCTGGAGACCAGGACGACCCCAAGAACCTGATTACGCTACCGAGGAACCCCACATACTTCTAGTATGGCTGGGGTGATGATGTTGGTGGCCGTTGCCCCGCCGATACCGCTGATGACGCCACTCAAAAGGAGAGGTGAGAGAGGAGAAGCGCCGCGCCAGCCACACTTTGCGAGCCCGAAACAGATAGCGACCGCACCCCAAAGGCACCCCCTTGTGGCGTCGAGAAAGTGCCACGCCTGCCACGCTTTGCGAAGCCGAAACGGATAGCGACCGCACCCCTGGCGCACCCCCTGTGGCAACGAGGAAGTACCGCGCCTGCCACGCCTTGCGAGCCCGAAACGGATAGCGACCGCACCCCCAGCGCACCCCCTTGACGTTCCGAAGAAGTGTCACGCCTGCCACGCTTTGCGAGCCCAGAGCGGATAGCGACCGCACCCCCAGCGCACTCCTTTCGGCGTCGAGAAATTGCCACGCCTGCCACGCTTTGCGAGCCCAGAGCGGATAGCGACCGCACCCCCAGCGCACCCCCTGTGGCGTCGAGAAAATGCCACGCCTGCCAACGCGTTGCGAGCCCGAAAAGGATAGCGACCGTGCCCCCAGCGCACCCCCTGTGGCGTCGATGAAATGTCACGCCTGCCACGCTCTGCGTGGCCGAAACGGGTAGCGACCGCACCCCCCACGCACCTCCTGTGGCGTCCAGAAAAGGCCACGCCTACCACACGTTGCGAGCCCGAAACGAATATCGACCGCACCCCCAGCGCACCCCCTGTGGCGTCCAGAAAATGCCACGCCTGCTAGTCTTTGCGGTAGTGTCGTGGACTGAGAGACCACCCCCTGCGAACCCCCTTGTGGTGTCCAGAAAGTGCCACGCCTGCTAGGCTTTGCGACAGTGCCGTGGATAGCGGAGGCGCTGAGAGACCCTCCTGCGCCCCCCCTATGGTGTCCAGAATTTGCCACGCCTGCTAGGCGTCGCGAAAATATCGTGGATAGCGGCCGCGCTGAGAGACCACGCCCTGCGCACCCCTTATGGTATCCAGAAAGTGCCACGCTTGCTGGGCGTTGCGACAGTGTCGTGGATAGCGGCCGCGCTGAGAGACCCACCCCTGCGCACACCCCCTATGGTGACCAGAAAGTGCCACGCCTGCTAGGCTTTGCGACAGTGTCGTGGATAACGGCCGCGCTGAGAGACCACCCCCTGCGCACCCCCTTTGGTGCCCAGAAAGTGCCACGCATGCTGGGCTTTGCGACAGTGTCGTGGATAGCGGCCGCGCTGAGAGACCACCCCCTGCGCACCCCCTATGGTGTCCAGAACGTGCTCGGCCTGCTAGGCTTTGCG